TAGTCATTTCAGCTTTTTCAATTCAAAACTGTTAGGCTAATCTGTAATTCCTCTTCCTTTGGTAATGAGCTAATCTCTTAAAATGTTCTTTGAAATTTTGATGTTATGTTTTCCATCTCAATAAATGTCAAAATATCTTCTAAGAACAGATTTAGTACCAACACATTTAAAAATATGATTGTCTTTCCCATGTTAATCAGTACTATAATAATGAAAAATTGCCACTTACTTTGAGTTTTATACATGCCAGTTTCATTTTTGATGTGTTATACATTAAAATATAATTTTACCCTACTATAGAGAAGAAATTAAAGTCAAGAGAAATGTAATGGCTTCCACAAAGCCACACATGCAGCAGATTTTTAGACTGAAAATCAAACCCTATGAAAGTGGCATTAGTTTACATTCTCATAAGTCTCTTCAATATTTAGTTTAATGGGGAACAGCCACAATGTCACATTTTCTACCTTTTTTATTGTGACATCACACATCTTGTCTCTTCAGGAACACTCCACTGTACATGTATAAAACAATAAAAGTTATAAATCCAACTGGTCCCTTAGTATGGTCATGAAAAGAGTTGGATCTCAGGGACCCTCCTAAATGATGCAGGAATGTATGGTGCAAACTGTGAGAACTGCTGATGTAAATAAAACCATCATTTAATCAGCATATTTAGTGCAATCTAAGGTATCCTGTAGATTTAATGATGGATTAGGGAGGGGCTGGTTAGATATGATTAGGGCAGATACTAAGCTACATCACAGAAATGCATGAAGATGATTTTAAGGAGGTCTGATTTTTCCTGCCTCCTACTAATGGCACACTTACCGGCACCCTATTAAAACTGTCCTTGCCTGGTTTAGCAATGATCTTATTGTTAGACTCAATATAATACCTTTTAAAAAGTATTCGCAGATACTTATTTTTCTGTTAACAACCCCTGACATGGTTGGCAAAATGAAAGAGACATTCAAGATTATCAATGAGTGGATGTTTCCTCTATTGACGTAGTCCTCCCATGATTTAGAGTCAGTGAAAGCACTCCTTCTCCTGTGGTGGCTGCTGGAGCAGGAAATCTAAGAAACTTTCCTGACTCAGCTCTCTTGCTCATCAAGTACCCTCAGTGCTTGCTCATAAATACCTGTCTGCTCCATCCACTTCTCACTCATTCTCTCTGCCCTCTCGCCCTGAAAGTGCTTCTTACCTTTCCTGCATTATTGCAACCCTTGGGTTATTACAACCACCTCCTAATTCTTTGTTTTCCCTGTTTGAGCTCTTCTGATCTGTCCTCCATAATCTGAATGATTCTTTTGAAATACGATTTCTAAGTAGACACTTCCCACAGCTCTTAAGATAAGGTCTCAACTCTTTAAAGTAATTTATGAGGGTTCTTTAGCAGTCCTCTGCTCACTTCACCAATTGCACTTATCACCACTTCTCTTCCCTTCTTAAGATTCGTTGTTCATGCTCTCTCACTTCCATGTCTATATAGGAAAACTATTTATTCTCTTATTCATTACTTATATTCTTTCTCCTTTTATTCTAGTATTAACTTAGACGTCACCTCCTGCTAAATAATTTCCTTAAAACCTCCTGCTACATGCTTTCTCAACATTCTGTACTTTTCTCACCAAAATGTTACTTATCACATTTCATAGTAATTTCTTTTTTATAACCTTTATTTTCCTACATATATTTGTGTTGCATGGAAGGAACCTTGTCTTCTTTATCTTTTCTTGTGTCTCCTGTGTCTAGAACAATACTTGAGCTATAATAAGAATTTAGTACATATTTTTTTAAGATTTTATTTATTTATTATGGAAGTTAGAGTTACACAGAAAGAGAAGGAGAGCCAGAGAGAGAAAGGTCTTCCGCCTGCTGGTTCACTCCCCAAATGGCCACAACTGCCCGAGCTGTGCAGATCCGAAGCCAGGAGCCAGGAGCTTCCTCTGGTCTCCCACACAGGTGCAGGAGCCCAAGGACTTGGCCCATCTTCTACTATTCTCCCAGGCCATAGCAGAGAGCCGGATTGGAAGAGGAGCAGCTGGGACTAGAACCGACACCTGTATGGGATGCTGGCGCCGCAGGCAGAGGATTAACCAAGTGAGCCATGGTGCCGGCCCCAGAATTTAGCACATCTTTGAGCGAAGTATCTTTATTTAAGATACATCTTTGAATGAAGTATCTTTTTTCTCTTTTTCCTATAACTCCTTGTATTTATGGTTTTCTAACTCTTTCTTCTCTACAGAAAAGTCAGGAATCTTTCTTTGAGCTCATTATTTTGTTGTGTTTTGCTACTAGTTAATGTAACAAAATTACTCTCTCATATGACTACTACACCAATATAATTCAAAAAAAGGGCTCTCATGATACTTACCTGAAACCAGGACTATCTTTGGAAATTGACTTTTTTTTTTTCATGAAATCACCTCAGAAGATTGTTTAAAAGACATATGCATGAGTATATTTCTATGAAGGTACTGAAGCAGTTGTTTAGATTGTGTCTGATTGTGATACCTTAAACAGTTGGAAATATGGCCTTACTGCAAGAATAGTTTAGTTTATTTATAAAAAGTAGTTAAACAATACTATTACCTTTTAAAATTTATTCTGATTTAGTAGCAGAGTGTTCCCATGTTCAAAGAAACGTGTAACTTTCTATACATATTTTGGAGGATGTCATACCACTATGATGAACTACTGTGATCAAGCAGGTGTTATAAGTAAATGCTGTATTGTTCAATGTTAACATCTGCTCTTATTTACACATGTTCTCTAAAATGAGATGTAGTGTGTTTAATGGATACATTAAATATCAATTAATTATGTAACATTTTACTAGTGAGTAAATATTTATTTATATATATAAATTTATAAAACTAAATAGGATAGTAATATACTGTGCAACTGACATTTTTAGAATTTTAAATGGCAAAATTCCAAAATAACTTTATGATGAAGTAAATCTTATGGGACAATATTTTCATGTATTATTTTGAATTGTCTTTTTTGATGATAAAATTAATGAATATTCATCAAGTTGTTAATTTTACTATTTTATTGTCTATGCTTATAACATCATATTATGAAACTATTATTTATTTAAAAACTTATATATAAAGCCCTAGGGGCAGAAATTGTGCCACAGCAGGTCAAACCACTGCTCATATTCTTTATCAGTGTGCCGATTCAAGTCCTTTTTACTCTTCTTCTGATCCAGCTTCCTGCTAATGTACCTGGGTCCAGATGAAATGAAATTCCTGACTCCTGGCATAGCCCTGGCTGTGGCAGCAATTTGAGAAGTAATCAACAGATGGAAGATCTCTTTTAGTCTCCCTGTCGCTCTTCTTCTCTTTCCTTCACTCTGTCATTCTGACTTTCAAATAAGCAAATGTTTTAAAAGTCCTAGAGTCAGATTTTTATTCTCAAGATCTCAAACTTTACTTTAATGTACAGTAGATTTTTAGTACTAATAAGGTATATTCCTAACACACGCATACACAGAGAATTCCAGATTAGCTATTTATAAATATTTTCCTTTATTATTGTTTGCCATACCAATATTAAAGAAGCTAGTAATAGAAAGGGAAGGGAGAAATAGAGATTGGATTATAGAGATGAGGTGGGATGAAAAAGACAGGTAAAAAAGAAGGAAGAGTAGGAGGAAAAATGAAAATTAATGTAGCCCAAACCATAATAGAACTGGGTAATATGTTTTTTTTCTTTTTTGATAATTGTTTTTTTGTGTCAGTTCTTAAATGGGTTTCATTACTTGAAGACTGTATAAAAAATGTGTCTCCATTGTTTTAAAATATGTTATAGTTCTATGAACTAATGAAAATATATCCATTAATTTTATATATTTTGATACATAACATGAGATACTTGAGGAAAATGCTTACTTTAAATGTCTACAGTTATATTTAATTGTATTTTTACTTTTGAAGTTAATGTTATACCTAGAACCCAGTACAAAAAAATGCTGGTTTTATTTCTTAAAATAATTGATGATGGTTCAAGCTACTTTGATGATTCTATTTTATTAAGGAAAATTGTTTTACTCTTATATATTCACTACATTGCTTGTACAGGTTATTCACTAGACATTATTTGTAAATGAACTTGAAAAAAGTAATCAGAGTTTTTTTTTTTTTTCTTTTTTTTTTTTTTTTTCTTTTTTTGACAGGCAGAGTTAGACAGTGAGAGAGAGAGAGAGACAGAGAGAAAGGTCTTCCTTTGCCGTTGGTTCACCCTCCAATGGCCGCCGCTGCAGCCGGCGCACCGCGCTGATCCGATGGCAGGAGCCAGGAGCCAGGTGCTTTTCCTGGTCTCCCATGGGGTGCAGGGCCCAAGCACCTGGGCCATCCTCCACTGCACTCCCTGGCCATAGCAGAGAGCTGGCCTGGAAGAGGGGCAACCGGGACAGAATCCGGCGCCCCGACCGGGACTAGAACCCGGTGTGCCGGCGCCGCAAGGTGGAGGATTAGCCTATTGAGCCACGGCGCCGGCCCAGAGTTTTAATAACAAGAAATAGCTATATAGGTTATGTTCATGATAAATAAATATTTGTTAGGCACAAAATGGAACAGCAATCACTGGCTTACAAGGATCTCTAACATATTGTAACAAAGCAACTATTAACATAAAATACATGACATAACTGTATTATTGCATAGAAAGTGTTCTAACAGAATCATTTCAAGCTTATTAACAACTCACTGTAGTTGAAATTGAGGTATGGAAAGATATATTTCATTCTATATTCTTTTATATATTTATTATATGAACTTATAGTCATTTGTAAAAAACCTTAAGAATCCTGAGAGGTTATTTTAACAAAAATCACAGAGGATTCAAAGTTCTGCCAAATAATAATTTCAATGTTTTTAACCTGTAATGCATTTAAATATGGTCAATAAAATCATGCAATAGTTTTATAGTGCTATGATCCAGTCTGTTTTATCTCTAATACTCTTTTGTTTCCTTTTTAATTAAAGGTCTCATTCGTTTGCAAGAGCTCATCAAAGCTCCATCAAGGTACAATCTTCGACTTAAAATTCGTCAGCTACCTGCTGATACAAAAGATGCAAAACCCTTACTAAAAGAAATGAAAAGAGGCAAGGAGTTCCATGTCATCTTTGACTGTAGCCATGAAATGGCAGCAGGCATTTTAAAACAGGTAATCTTTAAAGTAGTCAAATTCTTAGTTTCTTTATAAACTTAGTATGATCTTTGTTAAAATCAAACTGTTATTATTATGAAGTCAATTAAAGATATCAATTCCTTCAACAATCACCTTCATGTAATTTTATGAAATAAATCTGAAAACTGCTTTTAATTAGTTGTCTTACAGGAAAGGTAATGCAAATATTGATAATCTTCCAAGCAGATTGCATTTTGATGTTATTTTCAAATGACTGCAATATGGTTTTGTGAATGACTTTTTTAATGAGATAGATCTTTCTGTTTTGTGCTGAAATGAACAAAGCAACTCATCAATTACAATCTGCCAGTACAAAGAAACTAAAATAAATTCACTATTTAACTGATGTCTACTATGAGATACCTTATATATTTGATCTTATTTCATCATCATCCCAACTGAAGAAATAAAGACTTCCACTTTTTTGGAGATAAACTTAGTCTCAAAATGATTAATGGGAGCAAACCAAATAGCAAGACAATAGCAGAGGGATTCATATCCAACTCAGTGATGTTAACAAGTAATCATTCAAGGATAAAGCACTGCCTGCTTAAAAAGATATTTCTGAATCAATCAAGTGGATCAATTTGTAGCAACAAAACCCTTTAATGTTATATCAGCACTATTCAGATCTAACAGCAAACTGGATAACAGGAATTATTATTAGTTCATATCTTACAGATGTGGAAACTAGAGCTGGGAATTAAATGGCTCACACAAGGCCACACACTTACCTTGTAGTACAGCCTGGTAAATGTGCTGAAACATCACATTATACCCTGTAAATAATTATAAAACTGAAAACAAAAACTTTTGATTTTGTTTCTTTGGCTTTTTTTATGCACACTAGTTTAACAGCACAGTGGCTTGGGATTAGTCAACTATAAACATTCTCATGTATAGAATAAATTGTCTCTATTGTAGAGTCACGCAGATTCAAATGTGAAATTATATCTCATTAACTGTAACTTACTAACAGTAAATGCGTGTTATAACATGGCTAGTTTATTAAGCAGATGTTTGTCCAATGTTCCAGTATGAACATTGGTTTCACTACAGTAAAATATTTAATTGGGTTTTGAAAATTGCTCTGGTTTTATGTTTGGGTAGTTAAGTATGTGAGGGTTTTAATTTATTTATTTATTTTAGTTTTGGAAAATAAAATGTCTTGTGATGAATAAAATGATGCAATGAGCTAACCATCATAATATAAAGTCAGGATTTATTTTTTACATAATTTTAAAAAATATTTTATTTATTTAAGAGGTAGAGTTACAGACAGTGAGAGAGACAGAGAGAGAGACAGAGAGAAAAAGGTCTTCCATCTGCTGGTTCACTCCCCAGATGGCCACAACGGCCAGAGCTGGGCATTCTGAAGCCAGGAGCCTGAAGCTTCTTCTGGGTCTCCTATGTGGGTGCAGGGATCCAAGTGCTTAGGCCATCTTCTACTGCTTTCCCAGGCCGTAGCAGAGAGCTGAATCAGAAGACTAGCAGCCAGGACCTATATGGGATGCTGCCATTGCAGGTGGAGGATTAACCTATTGCGCCACAGTGCCAGCCTCTATAGAATTCTTAATTTTTTGGCCGGCGCTGTGGCTCAATAGGCTAATCCTCCACCTTGCGGCGCCGGCACACCGGGTTCTAGTCCCGGTCGGGGCGCCGGATTCTGTCCCGGTTGCCCATCTTCCAGGCCAGCTCTCTGCTATGGCCAGGGAGTGCAGTGGAGGATGGCCCAGGTGCTTGGGCCCTGCACCCCATGGGAGACCAGGAAAAGCACCTGGCTCCTGGCTCCTGCCATCGGATCAGCGTGGTGCGCCGGCTGCAGCGGCGTCCATTGGAGGGTGAACCAGTGGCAAAGGAAGACCTTTCTCTCTGTCTCTCTCTCTCTCACTGTCCACTCTGCCTGTCAAAAAAAAAAAAAAAAAGAATTCTTAATTTTTTATTTTCTTTTGAGTACACAGACTTGGATAGTCCTCTCTTCCTGGACTGAGTAGCACTTTGTATCAGTGACCAAGCTTTGTTCTGCTTTCTCTAGGCTTCTAACAAGTTTATAAATGATCAACTGTCTGTGCTCTAAAGAATGAACTGTAACTGACTTTGCCAACTGCGAGATGTGAATACTCAATAACAGAATTTGTTTTCTGCTTCATATTGGATTTATCCACTTTTTACACTTGTTTTCTTAGGTGTAATTGGTTCTGTTTATGAAATGAAAACAAAATTTAATATATGTGACAGATAAAATACAAATGTTTAACAAATTTAGTGGATGGGATATCAAAACAAAAATAATATGAGAATATGAGAGTTTAGATGAATTCAGAGTGACATTACAGAATGTATGCTCTGAGGTTAACACTGGAGGAACACAGATATGGTGATTTTTTAAGCTTACCTGGTTCCAGATTGCATTTTTCTCACATTTGGAGTTCAGTTATTATAAAACTCAATTCAGAAATAATGGAAATAGCTTCCTTCTAGTACATGCAGCAGTATATTTAATAGGGATCTATTTTACGATTTAGGAAAATTTATTGAACTTACTCAACATTGGCTTATCTTGGAACTCTAAAGAGATGGTATGAGAGTTGAATAGCAAAAACAGATGAGTGTTCAGCTCAGTGGGCTTCACTCAAAATGAGTATTAAAATACCCAGAAAAATACATGGATTTATTCAGGTTCACCTCATTTGTTTAATTTATTTGACTTACTTAAACTGAGCTTTTACTAAATATTGATGAACAGTGAATCTGAAGCTGCCTGAATACTGTAAAAGTGAGTAGAGTTTGGGGCTGACTACATTTCCTTTGAGGTCAGCTGAGTGTGTACTTATTGATTTACATGCCTCAATGGCAGGTGGTTCCATCTCCATCAGATTTTCTACAGAGAATACCCCAGGCCGGAGCCAAGACAGTATTATGAAACACTTCCAAACCTGAGAGCAGGAATTGCATTTGAAACCCTCCAAACTTGGTCCACTCACCTAACAGGCATTTACTAATGACCAGGTGGTGAATAAAATAGGGGAGCCAGGCATCTATTGATTACATATTGAAGTTGGGCCTGAGACATGCATGTTCAGCTCATGTCCAAGTTCCTGATTGGTCTGCAGCACTCATTGTCTTCCTTTGATTGGTTGGTGACATTGAATTCTTTAGGGACTTTGGATAATGATCAAATAGATTCCAGCGAGTTTAGGGGCTACATGCAGATGGTAGTTACTATTTGGTAGCAGGCTGGGGTTCCTAGAACAGAAATCCCTAAAGACACTGCCAAACATCAAGCTGTTAACCTATAGAGGAAGTAAATGACCACATGCGTCTGGTGAATGGGGACATTCTAGAGCTTGCTATATTACTCCCTCAACTCAGGAAATTAATTTTAGTAAGTGGTAGATTTGATTCGCAGTCATAAACATAGAGGAAGACAACTTTAAGATAAGAGAGTGAGGCTGAGAGGCTGTGGTAGGCTAGGACCTGATAGTTATCTAGTATTTACATCCAAGGCACTGTCTAGGGGTCTGGTTTCAATGTTCTGAGGTCTAAAAGCTCAGAAGGTTATTCAATCACAGATAAAACAATAATAAGCAACAACTTCAAAGACTAGGCAAGCGCATATGAAAAAACTTCCAGCCTGAAAAAAATATAAAAGCAAATGCAAACAAACTCATATACCAACAGGAGAAATAGAATAAAACTTAAAGAAATAGGTATAGAGGCCTCCACTGCCTCCACTCTCATTGTTAGCCTTGAACGATATACTTTACAGAATTAACCAGAAAGATAAACTGGCTTTCATAATGGCCTATGTTAATTTGTCATAGAGCAGTGCTAACACTAGACAAGCTTAATGTATGATTTTTAAATATTTTGATTTTGAAAAATTAATTTGTGCTATTTCATTCCAGCACAAATTTTCCATTGAAGTCACCCATGTTATTTGTGTATAAAAAGATACTGATTTTATTCTTTTTCATTTGGTTTGAGTTCAGCACACAATTCATTGAGAGGTAATAGCAAGACATGATGCTACAATTAACAGGCCCAAAACAACATTTTGTTAATTATACTGGAAATTATTCACTAATCTCTCAGAAGAGTATTCTTGTTGTCCATTTTTGTAAATAAGTTTAAAGTGTTGGTACTTAATAAAAAATAAGTAGCCTTCTCTATTTCTATTAGCTTTTTTTAAGATTGTGCATTGTAGCATTTAATTGATTTTTGTTTGCAAAGTCGAAGGCTGAGAGTTTAATGAAAGCCACAAACAGATTCCAGTTATCCTGCATAGATACATTACTTCTCAAAGTGATAAAGAAGAAACCTGTGGCCATTACATAACATCTATATCCTAGGCAAACCACTCACTGCCCCATCGTCTCCTCACTCCCTCCCATCCCTGCCACCAAATCAAAATTGTATATACCTGAGGTGCACAGGTTTTAAATTATCAAGCAGGACACAGGAACTTTTTTAGAATGCATAAGTCCTGAATGGAATTACATCTTTGGGATATAAAATACTTTCAATTTATAAAGTGGAGTAAATCATATTCTAATCCAAACTCTAACATATGGAGACACAAGTCTACTCACCGTTTCATAAAATTGGGCAATTTATTTATTTATTTTATCCTAGTTTTCTCACTTGTAAAATGACTATTTCTTTCAGTTAATATTATCTGTATTTCTAAAGCTATAGACTTCATAAATTATAAAACATTGACAAGGATAACATCCAACTGTTACTGAGTGTTTCTTAAAGTGGGAACCTTTTGTACATATCCATTAGAAACAATGAAAGTCTTTTTACAACAATAGATAATTATGCAGATCTTTGTTTAATAAGAGAAATTGCCTCATATTTTCCTTAAGATAAGAAGTACAGGAGTTCCATTGCATAACTTAGTGGCTATAGATAAGGTTAACATAATGTATATTTCTCTGTCCAAAAAAAAAAAAGCAAAACCTAGAAGACATTTGAGATGTTTTCAACATAAACTGGAAACTATTATGTTTAGTGAAATAAGCCAGTCTCAAAAAGGCACATATATATTTTCTCTGAAATGTGGCAATTAATATAGGATACAAAAATGTATAGGAATGAAACAGACATTTACAATGTGATTGTCATTTGTAGCCCTTGTTTATAGTCCTGTGGAATTTTGGTCTTCCTATTTTTCACTTGTTGAATGATTATGCTTAGTGGTGAATTAAGCCTGTGACTATAGAGTGGGTAAAAATTATGTCTTTGTAAAAACTGATGAAAGGAAGAGAGCAGAGGAAGAGAAGGGGATCAGGGAATGGAGGAAGAGGAAGAGGGAGGGAAGTATAGTTGTCTTCCTGGAACTATACCTATGAATGTATGAAATCTGTTCTGTTTATAACAGGAACTACTAAAAGAAATGAAAAGAAACCTTATCTTACAGAATTAAATGGATTGTTTATATTAAAAAGGTTAAATGTTTAAAGAGATCAATATATTTACCCTGACTGTACATTTTTAAAAGTTAGAATGCTCTTGGTTTATGTAATAATTTATCTTCAATATATTATTTGGTGATTCAGCTTATAAATTTCCTTTCTTTGATGTTACCTTTCATGAACTATAGTTCCCCCCCTTTATATATTTTATTTGTTCAAAAATTTTCAATAATATGTCTCTTCTTAATTGAAAAATTCATATTGTTGAACTACATTTTTTTCTACAAAATTCATTAATGCTAAAATGTGCCCATGATACTTTTCTGAACATAGAATACATAGGGCATATTTGGGGCAACTACTTAGTGAGTTTATATAGTTACTGACCTGTGAGAGAGTATTAAATATCCGGAGAATATATATTTCCTACTAGGAGTTCTCAATTCAGCTCGAAAATTCATTGGTTTTCAATTATCATTGGCAATTGCTATTCACTGATTAGCTATTTCAAAAGCATTCTAAAATTTCAGGGGAGAAAGTGACATGGACACTTCTTATCACTTCAAATTCTAATCTAAGGGTCCTTTTAAGATTGATAGTCTAAAATTGATGAGGACTATGAAAGAGTGAAACAAAATATAGTAATTTGCAAGAAAAATATTTCTTTACTTACCTGTACTTTTTGAGGAGACTGGTATTTTACATTTCCTTCCTAAGGAATTGTCTCTAAAGTGCTAAAGAAAATACCTATTGGTGATGATCTTTGTCACACTTTTTCCTGAGTAATACTGTTCACCAAAATAAAATGGCATTCTTCATTAGGACATTTGTAGTTAAGACATTACAAATATAATGAACAAGATGTGCTAATTTGGCTTTCCTGTCAAATTTAATGACTCCTTTAGTATGTAAAGCCCTAAGGTTTACAATTGCAAACATTCAAATAATAGTGTTTCTAGTAAGAGAATTACTTTAGAAATTCCTTCAGTAGCCATTAATCTTCTTTAACTACTAGGAAAAGATTTAGTTTAGCCCAATTTTGATGTAACATGAGTAGTGTAGATTGATTGTTCATTATATTCTACAATTTTGTTCTCATATGCCTTATTGACATAATGTATTTCATATAATGTGTACCTTTAATAATATTGATCTTTTTTATTTCTTAGGCATTAGCTATGGGAATGATGACAGAATACTATCATTACATCTTTACCACTCTGGTAAGTAATTGATTAAAGCATAAAGATAACACTCTATGTTTGATCATGACTTCTAGGATGAAAAATGTGTTTTTGAGTGAGAATAGCTAATATAGTGAGTGATACCTTTGTAGTCACTTTATTGTATTTTTATAAGACCCCAAAAGAATTAGCATCTGAGAGAACTAATAATTCTTGTTGTGAAGCTGATGATTTTGAATCATATTTCAGATATAAATTCAAATTTGTATATGCTTTATTTTTACATTTCTTCAAATAAGTTTTTTTAAAGACTTATTTATTTATTTGAAGTCAGAATCATACAGAGAGAAAAGGAGAGGCAGAGAGAAAGAGAAAGGAATTCCATCCACTGATTCACTCCCCAATTGGCCGCAATGGCTGGAGCTGCACTGAATCGAAGCCAGGAGCCAGGTGCTTCTTTTGGGTCTCCCATGTAGGTGCAGGGGCCCAAGGACTTGGGCCATCTTCTACTGCTTTCCCAGGCCATAGCAGAGAGCTGGATTGGAAATGAAGCATCCAGGACTTGAACCAGTCCCCATATGGGACGCCAGAGCCAGAGGCGCAGGAGGTGGCTTTAACTTCTATGCCACAGTTCAGGTCCCTCAAAATGTTGTGGGAAAACGGTGCTGGAGAAATTATGGTTACCTCAATGCTTTGTCCTACATGGAAGAAGAATTTCCAAGCAGATGGCAAATAGATTTAAAAGTATTTGTTAGAGTCAAAGGCCTTTAGCCAGAACAGTATGGAGGGGGGCTTCCAAGAGGGGAATAGATGCAAAGGGACTGGTGGCAGTGGGCTTCTTAAGTACAATTTCGAAAGAAAAAAAAAAAAAACTTGACAATCAGATTGGCATTCAGTTACCAGGCAGACACAAAACCCCATCAAAAGGCCTCACTTACAATTCTCTGTCCTGTCTATCCTGCTAATGGTGGGTAGGTAACTTGTTTTCACAATAAACTGTGAGCCCAGGAAGAGCTCCCTTGCTAGTTTCATGGTAAATTTGGAGATTCCAAAGAAGGGAGGGTGGCCTGTTTCTTCTTGCTAAGAATAATATTTTACACCTTAAATTGCATTGGGATGCCCAGACCATCTATTAACCTATCTGACTCCTCACATTCCCTCCTCCTGGATATGGAAACCCTAACATCCGTTAGGGGGAACTGGACGATGATTGCTCTGGCTCCTTCATGCTGAAAAGGGGCGTCTTTGGGAAGGGGAGTCAAGTCAGGGTTGCAGCAGGAGGTGGCTTCTCAGCAGAGGGTGACTTCTCCAGGGGGATACAGTGCCAGCTTGCAGACACTGCCTCCCTTGGAGGTTTCATGTGTATGGCCACCTAGTATTTTACTTTTCTAAGTCCATAGAAAATGAATCTAATAAGCAGTTTAAACTCACAGGATCTAAAGCCAAGGACAGAGTCATTATTAGAGGCCCTAAGAAAAGAGTCACTTTGAAAAGCACTTTAATATTATAATGAGTTTAAAATTCATTTGCTGAAAAATCATGATTTAGAAAAACACAAATGCTTATATAAAGTCTTTTTTATACTCAAATGATTTGGATGTCAGTTTTTTTTACTAGATTTTATTGTTATGGGTGAAATGGCAGTGGAGAAAATATTGTTTAAGTTTTTTGTTTCACGTGGAAGAATTTTCAAGCAGACAAGGCAAAGATTTAAAAGCAAGATTCATTTAAGTCGGAGACCTCCAAACACAGTGGCATGGTGGGGGCTCCAAGAGAAGCAAAACTGGAAGTGGCCAGTGACACTGGGGTTTTTAAGCACAATTTTGGGGAAGAAAAAAATACATATCAGCTTGAAATTCAGTTATAAGGTGGGAAAAAAACCCATGGAAAGACCTGATTTGCAATCATTTTACCCTGTCTGGCTTGCTAAAGATAAAACAAAAGAGCCATCAGAAATGTGGGATACCTAATTTGTTTTACAATAAACTGGTAGCTCAGAAGGGTGGAGTCACCCTGCTATTTATTCACAAGATGAAACTGGAAGCGTCTAAGGAATGTGGCTGGCACTGTTAATCTTGCTAAAGGTAACTTTTGGGGAAGCAAGCATTTTGCACCTTAATTTCCACTGGGGCCAACTTGACTGCCTATTAATCCTTCTGACTCCTCATAATTTGTTTCTAATTTTTGTGTCCCTACTCACATTTCAGTGCCTTTTGTGCCTATCAGTAAACTGATAGTTCATTAACTGTAAGGTGTCCGGCACGCAACAAATCTTCCCAGGCAGATGAATCAATTAATTCACAGGCTTTTATTGGGGTTCCGCTCCTGGGCGAGGTTCCCGGTCCCAACAGAGCAACAGAGCGGGGGCCGGGGAAGTCCCACGTCAGAGATTGGGAAAGCTCCTTTTATAGATTCAGGGCGTGGGAGTTAAGGGTTGAGGCGGGTCTGATCCTCATTGGTTGACCTTTAGGCACCCGCAGGGACCTTGACAAGGACTTTCTTCCCGGAAGTAGGCCTCTCCATTCCCGGAAGTGTAGGCCTTCCTTCCATGTGGATCCCAAAGCTATCATTAACAGCAGTGTTAGGGGAAAAAAGATTTATTTTTCTCAACAATCAAAAGATTTATATTAAAATCTCTATAACAAAACACAGATTAACAAGATAAAATCATTCAAATTTATTTAATATAAATTGTATATGCTGTGGGAACCTTTGGAAATGAACACTCAAAGAAACCATGAAATTATCTATATTATTTGGTTTGGTAAAGAGTGGACAGCTGTGTAGATAGATGATTAAACAAAGAGGATTATTATCTAATGGTAATAAACTGGTGGAGAAAAGGAATTAGTGAAACATGTTTTTTCATATTCTTGTTGGTCTCCAGGCTTAGAACAGACTCTCTCTGGAATTAGAGACTTAGGACCTACTTTCAAGCAATGTGGGTCAGGAAATTCTTTTATGGCCTGCTTCAGAGAATGAAGGTGGGAGAAGGTTAGAGAGTAACCTTCTTGCTTCTGCAGTTTTCTCAATTTCCTTCCCTTTAAAATACTCAGTATACCAAGGCACATATTTAGGATAACATATTCTGAGCTCCATCACATCTCAGATTCCATCTGTTCTGTGAAGTTTTCCTTGACAAAAAATGAAAGTGACCTGTCCTGTTACTGACTTCTATCATTTCTACTTTGATCCTTTAGTATATATTGCCTTTTTAACCCATTGAATACATTGTCTCCTTGTCCATATTGTAAGTACTGAAAAATAAAAACCTAAAGATTTATACTATTTTTTGCAGCACAGCTCAGGCTAATGCTAGTTACTTTCCACTGCATTTTATTCCTGCTGTCTAGTTTGTATAACAGTATGAGTTAAGTCAAGATGTGCACTGGGCCAGTGGTATTTATCTTGCCTTGCATCTCAATGTTGTCCATAATATCTGAGGGTTCACTAATGCCAGCAAGAAAAAGAGCAAGAGTCCCATGTGTTGCACATTCTCATGGTTATAACCGATTCCCTCAATAAGGATAGCCCTCTATCTTCTGGGAAAACTAAAGGGCAAAGTAAAAACATTCAGAGTATGCAAACTGGAAAGAGTAACTTTATGATAAAGTTGCTGAATAGGGCATAAAACAAAGGAATCACAAGGTATTTGCAACCAAAAAGGATTGTCTTCTTAACTTTTTCATTAACTTTAGTTACATGCCACGTTTCATGACTTTCCTCTTAAAATCCAAAAACTTTGACAAAATAACACTTCTAAATGGCAATAAGAAATCAAGGAAGCAGGCACTGAAAAATACCCCTGATAGTTGAAGGTGGAGAAGAAAGCTTATGCAAGAAAAGAGTGTGTGTTCTATTGGTTTAACTTTAATACACACATTTGTGTATGGAGCATATTTATTTGTATTGCAAAATCTGAAGACATTTTTGAAAACCTTGGTGATTTGTGATGCTTAGCATTACTTGAGACACAACAATGTTAAGTATCCTAAAGGAAACAAGAATGAGTGATTTTCGATAATGCATGCCTATGAATATACTTTGTTAATGGTGACACAGTGAAATTTGTCTTTCAGGATCTCTTCGCTCTTGATGTAGAGCCCTACAGATACAGTGGTGTTAACATGACAGGGTTCAGAATATTAAACACGGAAAATACCCAAGTTTCTTCCATCATTGAAAAATGGTCGATGGAACGGTTGCAGGCTCCTCCGAAACCCGATTCAGGTTTGCTGGATGGATTTATGACGGTATGAATACCCACTTAAAGACTAGTTTGTGTGTTTCTAAATAGTATTGCATAAATAACTAAACCTCTGAGTCAATACCTCAGTTTAATTGTTTGTCATTAAAGGCATGGTATTAGAGCTTCTATTGCAAATAATTCTATTTATAATTTTCTAAATCAATTTCATATGACAAATTTACATTTTCATTCAAGAAGTACAACCATCATCAGTATTACTATATTACAGGGATTTCTATAAAGTTAATTGGCATCATATATAGAATAAAAGAGAGACTGAACAAAAATTAATCTGAAAGATACACTTCTGACTCTTCATCATATCACACAAAACTCTTCCCCTGAGCTTACTTGTTCTCTAAGGCTGCAGACTCACCAATGGCCACATTTATAATTTTCAAGTCCTGGCTTAATTTCCTTGAAACTGTATTAATGCACTAACTGTAAGAGAAGGATATCTTCTTGTATAACTTTAGTTGTTTTTACCAATGCTACCAATGAAAATCTAACACAAAAGGCACATATTAATTTTAAACTTCCTAATGGCTGTGTTAAAAGCATTTCACTGAAAAGACAGGTAATTATCAATGTTTATAGTTTGTTTATTTAAGCTACTATATAAAAATACAATTCTTTAAAGTGGTAGTCAATATAAAAAATTGTAACTCAGATATTTTGCATAGTATTTTTCCACTAAGACTTTCTATGTTGCTATGTATTTGACATCACATTTTTTGTTTCATATTAGTTATAGTCAGATAAACTTGCTTCATCACTAATTATGGTTAGTGGCTAACTTGTAGGCTCATCCAAATTTATATTATACCATTTAAACAAATTATGAATACCTTATGTATTTTCATTACATAGATTGTTCTGCAGACCAAATTATTACTAAAATCAGAAAAGGGTTCATAATTTGGATAATATTTATATATCTCAGGTCATAACCACTTGGTTTTTTAAGAAATATATATTTATATTATTTATTTGAAAGAGTGACAGAAAGATGGAGAGACAGAAAATAAAAGAGATCTTCCACCCACTGGTTCACTCCACAAATGGCCACAACAGTCGGAATTGGGCCAGGCAAAAGCCAGGAGCCAGGAACTCTATCAGAGTCTCCCACGTGGTGTCAGAGACCCAAGCACTTGGGCATCCTCTGTTTCTTTCCAAGCTCATTAGCAGGGAGCTGGATGGGAAGTGGAACAGCCAGGACTCATGCTAACCTCCAGTACGGGATACCAGAATCACAAACAGCAGCTTAAGTCACTGTGCCATAACTCTGGCCCTAGAGGGTAACCTCGTAAGGCATCAACTTCCTAATGGAAAAAAGTAAAGACATTTTGTTTCCTTTTAGTGAGAAAAATAATCTACTAAAATTTAAAGTATCTTATATACACATCCATTTTTAAAATAAATAAAGGGAATTTTATCCCTTTTCATTCAAAGAGATAGTTGACATCTTCTAATAATTTGGTCTTAACCTAAGAAACATTTGAAAGTCTTTTAAAAATAAACATAATTTTCCAAAGTAATATATATTTATAATAAAATACAGCCTAGAAAGAAAATTACAAATATTTCATTTTACTACCAGATTGAAGATAATAAAATAAACTTAAAATAACTATTTTTAATTTAAATGTATATGATCCTTTAAGCTGTTATTACATTAATATGTATATTTTTATATATTCTTTCTGCCTCTCCTATGTTTCTTTAATTTCAAAAGGTATCAAAAATATTATTGAATGATTTAGTAAAAGTAAATCAGTAGCGACCCACTAGCTAATCCTCCGCCTTGCGGCGCCGGCACACCGGGTTCTAGTCCCGGTCGGGGACCCGGATTCTGTCCCGGTTGCCCCTCTTCCAGGCCAGCTCTCTGCTGTGGCCAGGGAGTACAGTGCTTGGGCCCTGTACCCGCATGGGAGACCAGGAGAAGCAACTGGCTCCTGCCATCGGATCAGCGCGGTGCGCTGGTCGCAGTGTGCCGGCTGCGGCGGCCATTGGAGGGTGAACCAATGGCAAAGGAAGACCTTTCTCTCTGTCTCTCTCTCACTGTTCACTCCGCTTGTCAAAAAAAAAAAAAAAAAGTAAATCAGTAGAGATCATGGCAAGCTTAACAGTTTTATACTTTAAGTCTTCCATTGAAATATCCAAACAGTAATGTGCCTCTTTACATGTGAGAATTATAAAAATTATGTAGTTTTACTTTGATATTCTCTCTGTAACTCTACATGTGTCTGTGTGACTCTGTAAGTCATTCCCTGAAATGAAGTACTCCCTAAGTTGTAGTAACTTAAATGGACTACTGAAAGACAGATAAATGCAAGGGAAGGTATAGTAACTTATTGCAGAGTAGAGGCTTCTGGAGAAAATGAAGAATATGGAGAAGGAGAAAAGGTGTTAGGAAGCATACAGGCTTGGGTTCTCTCTTTATAGATAGACATGAATCCTTTCCTCCCTTTAAACAGCGTGATTTGGACAGAGTACATAATGAAAGGGGGAAAAATGGATAGATTAGAAAAATTAGCCTTTTTGTTAAAAATTCTAAGCATTGCATATAGATCATGAATTTTGAAATTTTAAACATTCAAAGCAACACTTTTCCCTTTGGTTTAGTGCTAGAATAATTTTCAAGTGACATCTTAAATAAGAAATGGAAAGTTCTCACATAGAAGACATACAGTTTTATTGAAATACTTTTATTAAAGGATCTGAAAACTGTAAAGATTTTCCTAGAAAAGTTATATGAGAACACTTTTTTTTTTCTTTTGATAGGAAGAGTTAGTGAGAGAGATAGAGACAGAGAAAAAGGTCTTCCTTCCATTGGTTCACCCCCAAATGGCCACTACGGCTGGCGCTCTACCAGGCAGATCCGAAGCCAGGAACCAGGTGCTTCCTGCTGGTCTCCAATGTGAGTGCAGGGCCCAAGCACTTGGGCCATTCTCCACTGCCTTCCTGGGTCACAGCAGAGAGCTGGACTGGAAGAGGAGCAACCGGGACAGAATCCTGTGCCCCAACAGGGACTAGAACCCAGAGTGCCAGCGCCGCAGGCAGAGGATTAGCCTAGTGAGCCACAGTGCCAGCCATGAGATGTTGGGGTCTTAAGCTGAGGCTAGTCCCTGACCAGCAGGGGCAGCACAAGCACTCCCCAACAAGGTGAATAGGAGAAGTAAGGTCAATGGGTTAACCACACCGCAAGCACCTGTGAGTTCTGTTGAAGCAGGAACTACTTTATTGAGGAAGTGTCCAGGCTTATAAAGCTTATGAAAGACACGTGCAGTAGGGGAGCCAATCAGCGAAAAGGTCATGCAGGCATGGGTGGACCATGCACAGGGGCATCTTAAGAAAAGTATAGGGATCATGCACTTTCCATGTGTCTGGAACTAAAACGGACCTATCCCTGCTGGTGGTCTGATCTTATGTAGCTTAACTGCAGCTGCTGCAGACACACCCCTCGAACATCCGCCAGGTGCCATATTGTGATAGAGTTTTTAGACAGTGCCCAACATTTCCCCCTTTTTGTTTTATATATTAAAGAGAGAAAGAGGAGCTGAGCGGAGAGTATGCCTGTCTTAGGTCTTCCCCTCTGACTGGGATCAGTCCTTTAGGGAGCGTGTCTCTCTTAGGTTGTCCCCCTCTGGGGATCTTACCCGTCTTTGACTACTACTCCAGCTGTTAAGGGCTGCGCCAGGGGATCTTACCAGTCATTGGCTACCACCTCAGCAACTCAGGGTATGATGTATTATACCTCTACATCTTGGCAGTAGCCATGGGCGGGTGTATAGGGTTCCCAATCTGGTACTTAAAGAGCGGCATAACCCGGTTTTTGAAGAGTGGCATATTGTTGTCAGACCACCATTAACTGGACCTTGGTGATGCAAACTTAAACAAATTTACAAGGACAATGGAGACCAAGGGGCCCACAAGGGGGAGGAGATAAGGAAGCCATCCCCCAAGGCCCGATCACAGGTAACTAGAGCTTCTTGGAGGGTCTTGAACTTGTCCTGAATGGATGATCCAGTCACAATGAGGCAGAGAGTCCAATATGGTCTTTTTATGCCTGTAAGAGAAAAGAAAAATTACTCCTCAGGAGGGGGTCCTCCTGGGTGACCTTCTTTGGCAAAGGGGAGATATTTAAGGTTTCTCGCAGGTACCCATATGGGATTGGAATTCCCCTGAGGGAAGACACATCCAAATCCTCTACCAGCACTTATCATTGGCCTGGTCCTTGCCAGCATCCCGTTAGTGGGTTTTTCCATTCTACCCTAACCGAAAGCCAGGGTACTTGGAGGGACCATTGTTTGTGAAAGGCTGACAAGGGCTGATGTTTCAGAAAATTTAAAATATTTAAGGTGAGCATGGCCATTAGTATGTAGCTGGTCTTGTGGGGGTATGATTCTCCCTTTTTTATAAGTTGGTCTTTTAAAATTTTATTTTGTTTTTTGATGATTGTTTCTATTTGTGGGTTGTGAGGAATTTTAGTAGAGTGTTGAATTATTTTACATCTTGGCAGCACTTTTAATCTAAACATCTTGATTGGTTATTATCTCTGCTAGATGAGAGATATATCTTTTGACATCTCAGGGGCCCTCTGGAGATACCAACAGTTTAGAGAATTTAGAACTTTGATTTTTAGAAAGTCTGTTAAAGGTGCCAAGAGAACTTAAAGTATCTGGTCAAAATATAATTTCTTAACATTCTGAAATGATAGCCATTTATTTAGTTAGGGTGATTTTAACACTTTTACACCAGATTTAATTATAATGATATTTAACATAGCTTTTTAAGACAGTTTTTTTATTAATCTAAACTTAACAGAGACAGTAAACAATAGATTACCTTGGCAGAACATGAATTTTAAGTCTCTTGTTGAATAAACCAGAAATAAAAAACCTTAAACATAAGACTTAGCACATGAAATCATCACATAACCAATTAGGCAGACACTGTTAAAAAGAGATCTTACAGTTTTTGCAAAAACAGATCTGTAAAAGA